ACGTTAAATTTAATGTCGGAAAATAAATTTAAAACCCGATTACGTACATGATTTTGGTGGCGATACTAGGTGGGTCTACATGATTTTGGTGGTGATACTAGGTGCGTTATATCCCACACTGTGGAGGAATTGGGTGATTTGCTCGAATTATAGCAGCTTTATTATCATCAGAACCTTTAAAAAAAAAAAGGGTCAATTTTTTTTAATAAAATGTATTATTCTTTCGCTAAAATATAAACGATCAACACTTATTAAATCGAGATGTTAATTCAATCTAATATGTTTTTTGTGAGATCTCTCTTTTATCATTTTTATCATACCAGTATAATTCACTTTCAGTCCGCTTGAATCTATGTTACTGGATGGTGAATTATTTTCAACATCCCATGCAGTCAGTAAAACAATGTCATTGAATAGAGTTGTTGATTCTAAATAATCCATTGAGTTAAAATTCTTTCAGTGTTTAGACGATTAGTAAACCGATTTTGCGTATGAGACAAGCAATCGAACACAAAGCAGTATTTGATTATCGATAACTTATCAATATTAAATGTTAACAGAATATATATAATGAAGATGATAGTATCCATAAACTAAATTAAATAAACCGATAGAAATTTTATTTTTTAAAATCCTCCAGCTGTTACAAATAATAAATATAATAAAGACTCTGTCTAAAGATGTTAAAGGTAAGCTGTATCATTTTAAATGTTATTAAATAAGACTGTTGCCTATTCGAAATAAAAGAATGAATTTTCTAATACAATAAAAGAATTGAATTAAATGCTTAAAAAATTTTTTTATTGAATTTGTACTATTTTTCAATTACATAACAAAATTGGATTTTTATATCCAAAACCAATAATTTCGTCAAAATGAAATAAATGTAATCTAAGTATGCCTACAGGGCTTATCATAAAAATACGGCATTATATTATTTAAAACTTCAGATATTTGTTCCTTACAATAATAATTGATAGTGACATATTATTACCTGTTACTTAGTTAAAACTAGACGACAAGCAACCCACAAATGCAATTTTAGTTGTGCAGTAAATAAAAAATTCAGATGTTCATGTATTTATCACGGTCATCTACATATATATCGTTATTGAAATCGACTGAATAATTATCGTTCAATTTCTTTAGCGTTAGGTGTCCCAGGATTCGTGAAAATAGCTGTAAATGACGCGATAAAAGACTTCCCAATTTAAAGTGTTATTTAATAAAATGACATGAATCGTTCAGAACTACTTGGGATATTAATAAGGATGAAAGCTTTTAAATTGCAAAATTTTTATTGATAATTAATTAAATATAGTGCTTTTTCATAATCATTTACAGTAACATGCGATAAACTTTCCTTATGTATATAAAAATTTCCAACTTGATGGGAATCCCGATTATAATGTTAGAATTTTCTTTAATATCTAACCAGTTCTAGTTTGTCAATACTTTGATCCGAATTTTCACAAATTCATGTTCATACCGTTTTTTCTATGGTTATTATCAGTTAGTTCGTGTATTGAAATCCTCTCGAGCAATTCCCCTAAATACACACAAACCAGGTTTCAAACTATGCTTTAATACAAGTGTACTAGTAATTATGCTTGCCTAATATGTCAGCTTAAAGCCTGCTATTTATAATGCATAACATAATACATTATTTTTTATTGGAGAACATTCGTTCGCTAGTACGCTTGCGCTTGTATGATCAAATAGTTCCGCGCTATCTATGTAAGCCCATCATAACGTAAATTGGCTTGATCGTGTTTTCAGAGGGCAAGGAAGATTATATAAGGTTGTTCAAGTTCACTTTCTTGTTCATTATACGAAAACTAAATTAAAAATGCTACGTATTTGTACATTTTTACCAAATAATTACGTAATTTTTTTAAAAAAAAAATCAAGTAATCCTAATTAAAAAAAACTATAGTCGCTATTTAATTAAAACAAACATTCGAAAAATTTTGTAAATTTTTTTTTTTCGAAAATTACAGATTACAGATTTATTTGAATATTGATTAGTCCGGGTTTCAACAAGGATAGTTGAGTTTAGGCAAACAAGATAACATCCTATTTTTTTTTAAAGTATATACTATAACTATCTCCAACTTTAACTAGTTTAAAACGTACGAAGAACCGTAATTAAAGTCTGCACTCTTGCGATTAGTTTGTTTCATTATATGTCTTTCAGTTATTTATATTTACAATTTTTTCGAACTTTTGAAACGATAGGAATGAAGAATTAATTAAATTATTGGAATTTGTCAATATGAAAAAAAGATTTGTCACTCGATCATACAAAAAGCACAACTACGGAATACACTATATGGGATCTCGCCTCGCTGCTCACGTGATCTACAGCTAGTTCCCTAGCATCGTGTTCGTTTACCGTTACTTCATTTTATTTCTTTGATATCCGACTTGTTCAGTCGGGCCACCAAACTCTTTGCTCGATATCCAGACTGCTGGTCTAGGCTATCGAAATCCATATCCATAACTAATCAAAACACTATTCCCTTTCCTCCTCAACACTTTTATCGCCCTCACGGTGGGTGGGTGGGCTATTACGACAAAGCTAGATTTGCGTCGAGATAGCAGCAAAGACAAAAGAGGGAGAACTAGTTTCCATTTCTTCTCCCTTGAATAGCCATTTACTATGACCTCATACTAAACGATATTCATCATCCAATACTTACTAATCTCTCATTTGACGTCATGAATCTTGGTCATGATCTCGTGACGAATGGATGCCTCTGACTTCGTTCACAGCATCTCAGAAGAAAATTCTGTCTATATAATTAAATATTAAATATATATAGCATAGTATATACATAAGTATATCAACAAATGTTGATATACGGTATGTTACATTTCAATCAGTATACGTAATTAATTTAAAACTCGGAGAAATAGTAAAGCGACACGCAACTGCATTATTGTACTGCGACTATATATTGTCATTGGTAAATCAGCACAAAGTTATTGTGAAACAAATTTCTAGAAAGAGAATTATTTGTTGAAATGTCCGAGCCAATCATGAAGATTCTGGTGTCCATAAATTACAAAATATTGTAATCTAATATATATATATTGATAAATTACAAACTATATATATATTATATTGATATATATATATAGGAAAACATTAGAGAAAAAATAAATCTAATATTTTGTCTCGGAGAAAATAAAATGGCGTAGTATTATCTAATGTTGTACAAATCAAGTCCGATATTCCGGCGAAGCGAAATGATATTCCAAAAATAACGAATAATCCGGTCAATCTTGATCAGATGAGAGCCACGTTACCAAACAAAAGCGTCAGGTAATGAAAGAATTCTCTTTGACGTGTCGTTTTTAGAGAGATTGTGATAAATAATCTATATTGAGACATAATAAGTAATGCTCATGACAAAAAAAAAAATAATAAAAGAACATCTTGACGGAAAAAAAAAGATTATAATAATAATAAAAGAGCTTTTATTTTTTTGTAGCTTGTAATTAAAACGCTATATTAATTCTATCCTTTTAATATTTTATATTATAAAGACTTGTTTATTCCAATGAACATCAAAGTAACTTATAACAATATTACTCATAAAGTTAGACTTTCTAACGAAACAAATTGGGACTCTCTTAAAGTTCAATTATGCGATTTATTTAATATATCGGATGAATTTTCTATTTATTTATCCTACACGGACAATGATGATACTATTATTACACTTTCCAGTGACTCAGAACTTAGACAAATTCTATCCGATCAAGTTTCAAATATGAAATTTGTATTATCGACTACACAAGAAAATTTAGACAGTGACTGGATTGAAGTTGATAATGATTCAAGAAATAATTTAGTCAATGAAAACATTGGAATAATACAAGTTGAAAGTAAATCTGAGCAAGATTCTACTGAACAATCAGCTGAAACTTCTAGTAATAATTCACAGATTATTTCCAGAAACCATGAAGTTGACGGTGATGAAATTATTCAAGAGTTTTTCAATGTATGGTCGCAATCCTCTTACAGTTATAATACTCGCTTGGGTTTATTCAAGCGCCATTTATATTTAATTTTCGGCGATTGCAAAACAAACGCATACATATACATTCCGCCGCAATATAATCAAGCCACTGTAGGTGCACAATATTTCGATTACATTGTCGGACCTCGTAAATATCAGGCAATAGACATTTTTAATCAATTGAAAGATGTAATGAAGAAGTTATTAGAAAATATAAAAAGAATGAAGGGAATAACAAGATTGATTTTTTTAACGTTTGTTTTCTTTGCATTCATTAAATTGATATCTATTACAGTCCACTATGCAAAAATCGGATTGATGTGGGTTGGATTTTTTACAGTTATTAAATATATTAAGAATTATTTAAATGGAGAAGAATCTTCTAAGGATGCGCTAGAATTTGGAAAGCGACATTATGGAAATATGAAGAATGTTATTGGTGAATTATTAGAATAATATATATATTATTACATTCTCTATTTATTCGAATATATATGTAATTATTTTTTTTTAGTGATGTATATTATTATGTTAAATTGTTTAAATGAATTTATATGTAAATTATCTCTCATGAAATATTATAAACATAACTTTATCTTATAAATATAAATGATTTTTTTCGTAATTTGCTTAACGTAAGATGCACCATTAGTGTTAATTTTTCAACTAAAACTTTATTGTGCGAATACCGCACCTTATTCTGCTTCTGTGGTAAATAAGAAAAAAAAAAGAACTGTGCGCAATTGCTTGGACCGTAATCGTTTTAACTATGCGCTTTATATAGGTTTTTTGTGTGGCACGCCGCACATTTATCAATGGACCATATCGATATGTATCTATGCTTTTTAAACGGGTCATACTTTGTGTTAGATGTATTACCTTTTATAAAAGTATCAAAACAATAGCAAAACTAAACCTATAACTATAGAAATTACCTTTAATAACAACCGGGTAATTATTACAGCATTTTACAGCATACATTGAAATTTTTTAAAAATTTAAAATTATTTCAACAGCTAAGAAAAATATTGACTTTACAATTAGTAAAGTTAAAGCTGTTATACCGAAATCATTGAGCCGTATCGTCTTGCTGAGTTGCTTGTAGAATAGATAAAGAAGTAAAGGGAAATCGAAATCGGGTAAGTCAATTGGCTTCATCGTTTTTATCATCATTTGGTTAACTTATAACAAATTTTTTTTTTATTAAATATACACTATATTCAAAATCAAATAAATAAATAAATAAAAATTGTCAATAATAGGCCCTTTTAATAATAACAACATATAGCCATTCATTTATAGTCAAAAGTCAGCTGTTGCTGGTCGCAAAGCGTTTGAATGGCATTCGATATATGTTAAAGGCTGCAATTTGAATTGGCAAGGCAATCTTGGATATTATCGAAACGGCGTAGACACAGCCAAGAATGGTGTGATAATATTTAAGTATAATTTGAAAGTGAGCATCCTTGTAGTAGAGTCTTGAAAGTGATCATTGAAATATGGACTTTGATTCGGTTGACGTAAAGTCAGTAGTGAAAAATGAATTTTATGACAACTGAATGAATATGGATAATGACATTAAAAATGACATAGTCATGACGCGTAAAATAGATAGTGGTATAGACCTATGTGTTCCGAACATTGTTTGGTCACAAACTCCAGAATTTCAATCGAAAATTCGAATGTTCACAGAATTTTTTCAAAACATCAAAACCATATAAAAAAATTTAGTGAAAATTAAATTAATCAATTGCTTTTTTTTTTATTAATATTTATGAAAATTGTATTTACAATCAAATCACTGTCTTATCGTTATCAAAACCGTTAAATTTTCAACTTTGACTTATGCTCGATGATAACAGAATTAAAACCTTATTTCGACGTTCAAAATTTTGGTCGATGATCAAATAATTATCGATTCCACCCTCCAGTAGAAAGGAAGAGGATAAGAAAAGGTGGATAATACAGTAATTAGTAATGATGGAACATACCAATCGAACGATGGGAGTTTAAAGACTTACCTGCGTCAAATAAAAAAACAGCAGAGCGAATGTACTGGTGAAATACATGAAGTTATTGAAAATAGACTAAATAGTAATTTTGAAACGATAATGGCAAAGGTCGAGTAACGGTGATTGGTGATGCGCAACCAAAATTCAGCAGATCGACCAAAATTCCGGTCGGAATGGGTCAGAATTGATAAATTTTGCTGCTTAATGCCGGCCTAGCACCTATCCTAAATTTTTGTCGATCTGTTGAATTTGGTTGCGCGACTAACGCTAATCTGCCCTAAATTTGGTAATCTTGAATATTTGTTACCTGTTTAACTGGAAGTGATTTTATAATATTTATTATTAACTGTAGAGATATTCAGATAAAATACTTGCAGTTTAAAACTTTGCATATATGTACTTATTTGCATATGTAATACAAACCTTATTTTAAATTAAAAACATATACGTAGTATTTATAGAGTCTTTCAGTTATTCTTTAGCATTATAGGCATAGCACCAATAAAAAACAATTTATCATAATAAAACCAATTTATCTCAAGTTTAGTTAATTTGGAAATTTATTGGGCTTGTCATGATTTTTTTAGATAATCGAACGATTCAAAACCAATACTAATGTGAAGCTCAGTAAATTGGAAAAATAATCTTTTACATTTTTAATTATACGTAATATCTATGACATTTAATAAAAACGATTACCTAACGTTGGGGCCACATCACGTTTGTTATTTATAGAACATACTATAAAAGAAAAATTTTGAGGATTATCATATTTACATTAATACGTAGAATGATATACATACTTTATGCGAGATGATAATTATCTAAATCAAGGTTCATAACTCATAGCATATAGATACATAGCAGATAGATACGTATTAATGCAAGATGGATGAATTAATCTTTAAAATAAAATTTTTATATTTCTATTTTATTTTTTTTTTATTATTAAACAATAAATGACAAAAATAGCAAACATGAAGTGATTATAAAAAAAAAATTAATATCGAAAGTAGGATGATACAAAAGAAGGAACTTATAAAATTGGCGTTACTAAAATCTTGGATTGGTTAATGATAACAATCTACGAATATTCAAATTATGGTAATATTCAATAAATTGAAATATTTTTTTATCATATTTTTTATAGTCCTATATACATTTTTTACAACTATTTTATTCAATCTATCTTGACTAATTGCGACCATTCTTAGATTCTTAGTTTCTTAAATTGAAATGAGATTTTATAATTTATAGTATTAATTAATTTAATTGTTTTTTGTGTTTGACATTATTGACCGAAAATGGGAATATATTTGGTTATTGGTTTATCCCATATGAAGTAGAAATCCTGATTCCAAGACCCCAACTAAGTAATGTCAATTCAAAGAAAAGGGGTTTGGACCGTAACCTAGTTCTCATCCATGATGTCTTTTTTGTTCTCATCTTTGATTTCTTGTTTATTCTCATCTTTGATGTCTTGTTTGTTCTCATCTTTAGTGTCTTCGTCTTTGGCATCTTGTTTATTAGTGTCAGCATCGCGCTTGCCAAACATTCGAGCACCCAATTGCGTAGAAAGTCTAATTAACTGATCAGTTTCCATCTTTGAAAAATTATCGATGTCAGAACTTAAAGGTTCAGAATTCTTTGAGGGAACGTATTTGTTGAGGCACATATTTGTTGTTTTAATTGTCATACTAAGATGTTTAACCAATTTTTCTATATTATTAATTCTATCTTTTAAAGAATTAATATATTGATCACTTTGTTCACATCTGCGGCAAGTATATGTAGCATAAGGATGTGTGGAACGACGAAATATTACGCAATATCTACGGATCGTATGGAACCTTCGATTAGAATCTCTGGTAGAGACGATAGTGGAAAAACGTTTAATTTGTTTAATTTTTGCAGCCATTTTTTGTAAAATTTTTAAAGTTGAAACTTGTATTTTCAATGTAATTGCTTTGTTTAAAAAAATTCTAGAAGAAAGTAGATTCCGCTCATATTTATTTTAATTTTTTTTGCCACCGAATTTTTGTATAACGGTGATTAATGGTTTAATCTTATCAGATGTAAAATTTATATGTGAAGATCCATTAAAAATTGAATTGATTCTAATTTGGAAGGTTAATATAAAAACACATGATTATGTTTATCTTTTTCGCTTTTTGTGTTTCGGCTCAGTATTTTGAATTTCCAAATTTGGAACTTGTATTAAAGATATGCATGTGGCTTCAAAGTAAGTGGCAATGATTCACACACCAATAAACGAACTAATAAAGTTTTATCATTTAAAATAGACATACAGAATATCGATATATCGTAACCTTACTGCGTTTCTATCAGCACATGAAGCCTTTAGACAAATTAATAACTTAATATGTAAGTATTTATGTATATGTGTGTAAAGCACTTACGTATGTCGAAATATTAGTAGAACTGATATTCTACATAATAATAATTTGATACTACGTAATATATTGTATTAATTTTATTGTGCATATAAAATTATTTTCCAAATAAGGTATCTTAATTCGGTATTCATCAAATAGATCATATTTACACAATTTTATATTAATATAATAAAATTTCTATTTCTTAATTTTTAATTAAGTTAATAACCGCAATTTTCCATTAACAAGCCACGAATTTCGGCCTTGAATATATGTTTGTTGACAGAAACCCCAAGATCTGTAATAAAATTTATCCAATAGTAAATTCTTTATACGTATACGCTACCACCTTGTGACTGATTATATAATTTATGCAAATTACAAAAAATGGCAATTTCGTATAATTCTCTTTTAGTATACGATCACACATACTTTATCTTTTCCGATACATGCATGAAATTGTACAATACTAAATTTACTAAACTTTTCCATATGAAAGATACTTATTCTACCATGTAAAGTTTCGCTTATCACCGTCTCAAACAATGCATTTCCTTTTCTTATTTTATGCATAATGACATGCTATTATGAAAGTAAACTTTTCATTAAATGTTCAATACGGGCAGTGCTAATATCAGGAATACAGCTGCGAATGATATATTATAATTCTTTTCGATGTAGTACGTAGTACGGCATGTACAAAGATATGTACAAAGGTGTGTACAAAGTTATCTACAGTAAACTGAACAATAAATTTTCTTATATGTCAATTTGATGTCTCACTTGTGTCAAAAAAAAAAAAAAAAAATTTAAATAATGTATGGTTAAAAGAACTATAAGTAGTAAACAGTTTCATTAGTTTGTATTATGGACTGCTTAATTATAAAAATAGCATGAAAAATAAGCTATTATATAATAAACAAGCTATTAGATAATAAACAAGCTGTTAGATAACGTTTATTATGTAATAAAGTTAGAATTTGAATTTGCTCAATATATGAGCAAACGACGGACGGACGGACGGACAGGTTACGATTAAAATTTTTACCTATTGTACTACTTAATTATATTTTGTGTATTTCTTTATTGTATACTTATCTTGTGTCATATGTTATCCTTATTTGGTTATTTAGTCTTAACCTTTATTTATCGGTAGCCGTATTATTGGTAGCCTAAAGATAGATATATAGTCAACTGCTTTGTGGCTTATGGCATAATTTTGATAGTAACTAATAATGCTGCAATGCCACATTTTCGCATTGTAATTTCGCTATGTGGTAATGAAGTTGGCACTGCCCCGCATTTGATAATTAACTTTTGCCATCAACGCGTATGAGGAGTACGACGCGAAGAGCGCAAATTATTGTTAGTCATGAATGATACCGATAGATTAGGAAAGGGGCATAGTCGGAAATGGCATTACATGAGATGCACGTGGGAAAAGAAAGTGCCAACATGTTATTATTATTATCAGTTTGGGTAGGTTGAAGGTATAATTTAGAGACGAGCTACTGCTAATTAGAGATTTTTATCTAGTACATTTGTTTAACAAAAAAAATAACTAAATAATCTTAGTTCAATGAATATCCAACGAATATCCAAATATCCAATGAATATCCAATGAATATCCAATAAATATGTAAAACAATTTTTATTAAAGTTAAACAAATAAATATTCGAATATCAATTTTTTTTTGACCAATTAATTGCTAACCAAAAAGGTGCAACTAACCAAAGTTAAAATTTGATAAAATTTGTCTTAAATAGTCAACTAACAATAAAATAGACAACATATATTGAAATGTAACAACGACTATGTTGATTAAAATTATCTATTGTCATGTGAAATTGCGAATCATTAGTTGTCATTATCACATGACTCAGTCAACCGTTGCATCATTTTTGAACATTCCAAAATAAACCGCGTTTTATACTAAATGTATATAAAGGAAAAATAAGGTTAACAAATACTGTATTATTAATACTTCACATTAAACAAACAAAAAAAAAACCACACTTTTTAACAACAGAAAAACAAAAGTACAACCTGGCTCAGAACAAAACTACTTATCTAGGCCCAGCAAAATTCTGGGGGCATATGATGTCTCATTTGAAATGTTGTGACGATGGACAATTACAAACGTATACAAAACCTTTGGAAATGGCCGACAGTGTTTCATAGGAGGACATTCGTCTGATTGGCTAATGTAAATCAACTGCCCGGGTAACTTATTCATACACTAACAAAATAACCGCAAAAGCCATCTTTCGCTTCGATAGAACGTCTATATTCACTATGCAAAAATAATCAGTAATAATCAGTATCCCCACAAACTTTACTTAGAAGGCAAAATATGCCTACCGCTTATTGGACCATATCAAATTATACTGTAGAGTGAAGCTAACCAGAAACGTTTTCGTCTAAAACTATTTTATTACGTTAGATTTAAATAAACTTTTATTTCAAACTGTTTAATTTAAGCTCTTTAGCAAGAAGATCCGGGTTTAATATTTAAATTTGGTCGATTCTTGCAATGTGTTTGAGTTTGTCAACCGTAAATTAATAGTCAAAGTTTTAATTTATATCTTATATGGTAGATTCTTTAATAGTTTGGGTTTATTAGTAATAAATACCATATCTATCTATTCTCTACATATAAATAATAAACTCTTTCGCGTGTATTTATTAGTTTGTAAGCTTCTTTATACTTTAGTATTAATTAAAAATTATGTATTTTATTGGTTAATTATCACGGGAAATCACGTGTATATCTAAAAAATTAACCAATCATGTGGATGTCTTCCTATAACCGACAGTACCAAAATTTACGCAAAAGAGTCAGTTCAGAGAACCAGCAAGGTGATCTTGAACGACAGACCACGGATCTCTAACATATTTACCCAGGACAATTAATCGATTGATAATTTTATTAAAAACTAATTGATTTATAATAATTAATCGATTAGTTGCTTTTATATGGCTGAAAACAAGAAATTAAAATATACTTTGAGACACATTTTGTTTAACACTACCAACTGATGAAAAGTTATAATTGTTAATTTTTGTGCAAAAAACAATACATGCTCACCGAATTTTTAACACTGTTATAAACAGCCCGTAAGTGCAATATGATCAGAATGACCCGAAAATTTATTGAAGTTCGGACTTAAACCTCTACAAGTGCACATCTCTATAATTGCACATTTCCCTAAAATAGTGATACGGGCCGATGCCAAATGCTTGAGCCGATCCGGCCGAAAAAAGACTCGGCCCGGTCGACCGGGCCGACTATATTATTAAATTATTTTACAGCTATTTTCATAATTCCTGGAACACCTGATAAAAAATTGGCCGAATGATTTTTCAGCCGATTCAATTAAGTTTGTGATTTCGGAATAATAGATTCAATAAATTTTTGATATATGGGATCTTTGCTAGGAAAATCACCCTTCGGGATTTTCCGATCGGGCTAATTCGGAAAATATTAGACCAGAATGTCAGTTCTTATTCATATGTAAATCAACTTTTGCTTTATTTATTCGATAGTTTATTAAATAGACTGTCAAATCAGTAAAGTAAAAAGATGTTTTACATATGAATAAGAACCGACATTCTGGTCTAAACTTTTCCGAATTAGCCCGATCAGAAACTCCCGAAGGATGATTTTCCTAGTATATAGATGATCAGATAACTAATTTAAATATTACTGAATATTGTATCTCTGGTTGAATACAGAAATATGACACCTTTAAAGCATCTTCGTTGAAAAAAAATTTAGAAGACCTATCATTTCGAACACTTAGGTGTTAACATATCTTTTATAAGTCGGTTCTCAAGCACTTTCAAAGATATGGATGTTAGAAAAGCTTCCGTCACTTTCAGGAGAACCACGTTCACTGAACATTATTGATACAAAATATTTTAAAATTTTAAAATTTAATGAAAAAACCTGATTGGTATTTGTATAAATTACGATCCGAGATGGAATTAGTCTTATGACAATTTGAAGGGCTATTAACTAACTTGTAATATTTTATATATAGGATCTTCTTTTAACATATACATCGATTCATGCAATATGTTTATTAATAAATAGCGCATTTTTTTATATTTCTTGTTAAGACTTATTGACACACTAATCATGTTGGATAAGCATTCGAACGAAAGTTTAATAATGTTGACATTATTGTTACAACGATCTGTAAACAGTCATTATATGATACAAAAATTTTAATCAAATCGACTGAAAAATGATTCGGCCAATTTTTATCAGGTGTTCCAGAAATCATGAAAATAGCAAGCTGTCTTATATATCTTATAATAACTTAATAAGAAAGTTGCCATATGTCCGACGAGCATGCTCGTGGTTTGTGTTGGTTGATTATCCACCATCCCGAAATGTTCCGATATTACTCTATCATTTCTTTGACTTAATGCTGCCTGAATTTACGATTAATTCCAATCTAATTCCACAACTTACCAAAAGTTTTGGTAACTTACTTCAATTTACTCGTTAACTCATTATGGTAACTTACTATTTACAACTTTAGTCTTATTTTAATCCGTGAAGTGATACAAATCATGTGACAATAATAAATATTTATTGCACGAGTCTTATGTGACAACCCGTGCTTTTTTCATTTACTTATTGGCACGGGATTGTTACGTCAGGCACCGTGCAATAACTATAAATTATTTGATAGTTCCGATCATAATAGGGTATCGGATAATTAAAATTATGAAATACTTAGAGATTACCTTGACTTCTCTACTAAGTTATGCTAGATCTGACTTTTTTTGAGTTGAATAGTGATTTGTAATCAAGTGGGTAGTCAAAATATAAGCATAAATACGATCAGGCAAGTAAAGGTCAATTACTATATTGGATTAAATAGTGAAATCGTAAAGCAGTTTTAATTTCAGAATCTGGCGATGCCAGTAAATAACTTCAAAATAAAAATAAAAAATAAAGCAATAAATTCTCGAAGATTCAGACTAGCTGTCTATACGTGATAGTTTAAAAAAAGGTGTGTTACTAATAGTGTTATTTAAGGTCTAAAAACTGTAATCTGATAGATTTTTCCAATCGATCTATGAAATCTTGCCCATATACTACTAATGGTTTTCTGAATTAAAAAAAATTTAATAAATAATAACTCTATAATAAAATTAATATAAACTAGTGAAAAAGTTATTAAGACAAATTAAAAAAATAATTTAGCATATATTAATAAATTTAAGTGATTATGAACTTTCAGGTATTCCATTTACAGTAGCAATAATAGGAGTAATGCTGCCATATGGGATCTTTGCTAGGAAAATCACCCTTCGGGGTTTTCCGATCGGACCAATTCGGAAAAGCTTACTTATTCATATGTAAATCACTTTTTGCTTATTTATTCGATAGTTTATTAAATAAATTGCCGAATCAATAAAGTAAAAAGATGGTTTACATATAAATAAGAACCGGCATTCTGGTCTAAACTTTTCTGAATTAGCGCGATCGGAAAATCCCGAAGGGTGATTTTCCTAGCAAAGATCCCATATGATTCATTAGCGGCAAATTGATAGACAGATAAGGGCATTTCTAGGTCGTCTATATTAATATTAAAATTTCCATCACCAAACTTCACTTCCTATTTTTTGCAAAAATTTAAACAAAAATACATTATAAATTATGATATTAAGCCTAACTAAAAAAAGTTAGAAAGATTAAACTTACATTTTTGAAGGTAACTGGAAGCGAACATCCATCTTTGTACCTATAACAGCATTTGCTAAAAAATAAATAAATAAATAAAATAAATTTAATTAATATAAATAAACTCAAATTAATTTTAGTAATTCAATAAGAAACAATGCTGACAGTGCAATCCTAATCTTAACAGTCATATTTGAGGAATTTTTGCCATTGCATTATGATTATATTACACTATACTACTTTATTATAAAATTAGGATTCTTGCCTCCTTAATTAAAAGGACTGACTATAATTTTATATGCTTTGGTTATTAAGAAAGCACTCTCTAATTTCTTATACCAAAGTTTTATGACATCATTTCAGCTTTCATCACATTATGCGTTAGCAATAATAAAAAACATTTGTACATACATTCAGGATCGATTTGAGCATCCAGATTAGGGATGGGTTCGGTCGGGTCACGGTCAGTCATCGGTCGGTCATTATCGGTTAACCGCTCATAGCCGGTTGACTCATACGGTTAAATGACCGGTCATAGCTGACGAATTATTTTAATCAAGTGACAAGTAAGGATGGGACACTGTACAGGCCGCCGAAAAAAAAACTAAACACGGTGACTTGCATCACATGATCAATAAAATCATCGTTCATAATTCTGGTCAAACTTGCAGATCATTTGACTACATTTAAAGTTGTTTTTTTATAGATCTGGCCAAATGATCTGCAATTTTGACCAGAATTAGGCAGTTCGAAGTCCAATCAAAATTTAGAAATTTTTAAAATTTTCAAACTTCTAGCGAGGGGTTTCTCAATAACTACTTATTCAAATTCGGTAAAATTTTTTTATTTAAATCCCATAATTTTATAAAATCAAAATTAAAAAAATTTATTAAATTTAATTTAATGGTTATCGAGAAATCTTAACTAGAAGTTTTAGAAAACCTTAGAAAAGAACTAAAGATCGGGCAAAATTTTCTTTTCCTAAACTTTAAGCAAGAAAGTTTTTTTATTTTAATTCTGAAGACTTGTAGAATTAAAATAAAAAATTATCAATTTATACAGGTAGTTGCCGAGGAAAGTTAAAAAAAAAAAACATTAAGCCGCAGTTTTTTTTAAATTTGAACGAAGGTTACTCGATACCAACCTGACCCAATTCAATCAAATTTTTTTTTATATAATTATATAAACTTATAGAATTAAATAAAAAAAATTTGATCAAATTTGATTAAGTAGATACCGAGTAATCTTTGTTCAAAGTTTAGGCGACTACAAAGAAAAAAGCAGCGGCCAATTGTTTTAAATATTTTTCAACAACTAGCTATCCAAATTAAATCAAAATTTTTTATTTTAATTCTGTAAACTCAGAATTTAAACCATTGATTCATTAACCTTAGCTGCCGCAACAAAAAATACACGGCAGATCCTCGATTTTGATTGGCTAACGGCTGAAGATCTTTGAAATTTTGGTCCGCATTACAAA